ATGCCAGAATGCCTTTACTGCCCATCCACATCCTCCATAAATGCGAGAGGGCCAGTCGAGGCGGGGGCCAGAGTATAGAAATCCTGACACCGTGATTGGTTGGAATGAGCGAACAAAGGACGACTCCTCGACTTTTCCCTGCCCAGCCGAGGGCCGCAGTTTCACCCGACGTTTCCACTGCATGATCGCCACCAAAGAATGTCGCAGGCGCCCGCGAGCTCCCCAGAGCTCCAGCTGATGCATCTGGACATGTGTGACCCGCGGGTTCGATCACCTCTCGTCCCATGTATATACATCGCCCTCTGTCGTTATAGATCAATCCAACGGAGCCCATCCCCGCCACCACTCGTCATTCTCATGTACGCAATGGTTGGTGCTGTACGTGACGGCTGTTGGCATGTTGCACGTGAAGGTGCCCTTCACAATCAAACATTCTCGCCCTGTGCTTGGTTCATGTGAGCGCTTGCCAGTCCCTTGCATGGCAACTCCGTAGCGCCCTATTTTTACCGGCAACTTTGTCCTTGGACGACATAGCTGCTCCTCCTCGTTCAACTTGGGCCTCCGCCAACTTGGACCTCCGGCCAACGCAAGCCCCTCGACACCCCTTCGCCCCCAGCTTAGCCCCCCCCGTCCGTCACAAGCCGTCTGCGAACTGGACCCGCGCGTCGTTTTCGGACGCGCTTCCGTCGCGTTCTCGTCAGGTTCGCCCCCTGCGCTCGTCAGCCCGGCCCTTTCTCATCCTCGGCGGAATATTCGCCCGGATCTGGCCCACTTGGCGTCCGAATGCCACTTCCGGCGGCAGAGCGCGGCGCCGTCGATGCGCCGAGGGATGCGCCGTCGGCCCATGCGCGTCGTCGATCCGGCCGACTCGTCCGAGATTGCTGACGCGAGTGCGATCCGGCGAAGCCGCAAACCGTGAAACTCCTGTAAGACGAACGGAAACCGGAGTGCTGTCTTCAGGCGGCAGGGCTCAGCAGGCTCTCCAAAGATAGGTCGCTTCGGTCAGCTTCCTCTTCTCGGTCTGGACGGAATCCCCTCTCGGGCGGGCCGGGTCGAGGGATCCAGGCCCGGAATGGTAAGTCCCGGGCTTAAACGCTCGACGCTTTCTGTACAAATCAAGGGCCGGCGGCACCGGAGGCGATGCGCCGATGCCCGTCGTCGCGATCAATGCCCCAATGGTCGCTGTCAGGAGGAGCCGGCGCGCGACTTCGGGCACCAAGGAATGCTGAAGGCGCACGACTTCGTGATTTGGCAGGCGAGCGAACTTGATCTATGTTCCTTCTATTTGGTCGAAAGCCCGACACGATCGTGGACAGAGGACTGCTAATTCTAATTCGTGTCCCGAGACGACCTCGTGCCGTGGATTTCTTCGGGATAATGGTGCGGCTAAAGCTGACATAGTGGACGACAACGACGATTTTACATGATCCAGATGATGCCCGGACTCGGACCCTTATGTTGGCTCCTGAGGTTAATATTGGTTAAGATTGGCCCCAAATCATATTTCTCCCTGTAAATATATTTTTTGGTGCAGGTACGGTACCTTGGCGAGAGAATGAATGACTGCGAACGAAGCTCCATCCTTGCGAATGAGTGTCGTGCCTGGAGGGCAAATGTGGTCTGCTCCTCGTTCGCCAGACGGCTGTCGTTGTGGCATACACCAACTTGACTGGGCCCACGTCATGGGGGTCATTCTCTGAGCCATCTCTTCCGCAGCCCAAATCTTGTGTTCCTCGCATTTCTTTTGATCGGTTCCTTTAATACAAATTTTGAGATTTTTTTATGCGTTTTTTAATTTTTTTGATGGAAGATATTATTAACCAAATTCCTCCTTAGCTGGAATACGTCATTCACGCTTTTCTTGATATTTAACATGATGAGATCATATGTAAGGATTCTCCTACATATAATGATAAATCATGTTTTATGCAGAAAGTTCAAATGCATACTGATAATTCTATAGATTATAAGAAACTGATTAGAAAAGAACTTCCCTTTATATAAAGATTGCTAGTCATTGACACGGTAAGAAAATACTGTATTTAATTGGAGATTTTTGTTGATGGAGGAATATGTATTCACACTTGAAGATTCTATGCGTTAATAATATTACTATATAATATGACGTATTCCCAAATAATAAAATTGATAAATTTAACGATTTCTTAAATTAAGAGATGAATTTTTATCAAGAAATTATCTAATTAATATATATGCATTTAAAAGTCCACATAACAACAGTTTTTTATACAAAAAAATATAGTCGTGTGTGTAATGGAAATGATTACGATGAATTCATATCCAATTTGGATTTGCAATTTAAAATATACATTTGATTAATTTAGATGAAATGAACTATTAACAAAAATATTAAATTTTATCTTTTGAAAATTTACAGTTACGCTCACAAGTGTTGAGTATTGTCTTGTACAATTTTTTTAGTGTGAACAACTGTTATTATCATTACTAGAATATTGAATAAAATGTTCTTGCAACTATAATATGTATAAATATGCAAATTATATACATAAAGCAGTATAATCTGAGTGCTAAATATTACAACTTACAAAAGTAAGACATGGAAATGATAAATTTTCTGTTTGCAAATATTTATTTCATTATGCAACATGCATTTCACTCAAATTTTATCCCTATCAATATTTATAACGTACATAAATGATTCAGAACCTACAAATATTATGATGATAGAGATTCTTATATAGAAATGCAAATTAATCAGTGCAACTATTGTCATTGATAAGTGCATTGTGGAAAAATATACATTAAACATTTGGTTAAGTCCGCATAATTTTTTTCACAAAAACTTGATCAACATTTTATTGCTTTTATTCAATGCATACATTAGAATAGAGTCATTTGACGGCTCTTTGTCATGGCTTCGCGATTTATCTCATCTGGTATTTCAAAGCAAAGGCGATAATATTAGCCTTACGACAAATAATATTGGAAGTCAATGCAAATGACATATGACAACCAGCTTCAATCCACTTGATTAGCCTCTGTTCGAGTTCAAAAAACGTACCATGAGATGCACATAATGTGAATTCCTGGATAGCTTGATCTATTTTATACGCTCTCTCACCAATGTTTGTCTTTGTTGGACTTTAGGTTCCAAATTCTCTTCTCATCCACTCCAAATTGAAAAGCAATATTACGCATTGAAGTCAAATTTTGATGTTCCAACAATAAGATTATCTTCATTGGCTGCAGGTTGTTGAGACGACTATACTCATCTCTACGCTTAACAGATTGCAAGCTCATTTTGCTAAATAAAACACTGTTGAAGATTTAAGTTTGATCAATGAACAAGTTTTGCTCCTAGGATTTTTAAATCCACAATGGATTCTCCATATCATAATGTGGACTTTAGCAAATGTTTACTGTATATCATAATGAAGAAGACAATATCCTCAAATTTTGAAAAATCTCTAGAATCTCACATAGCTAAAAACTTTTGTTCATGTGATATAGTGTAGTTCACAAGTTTAGCTAGTTATTACATACATAAGTTAGGAAAATTGTAGAGATTCCCCAGATGTGATTTTATCTATTATTATATTAAATTCCTTATTTTCCTTTCAGATTGTTTTACATTTCATTATCAGTTTACCAAAAAAATTTTGTACATTTCACATTTCTATTATATTTTCTATTCATGTGTCTCTACTAAAATTATTTCATGATCTTATTTATGAAAAGATTTCAAAATGGACCACGACGTAAGATGCATTAGTTAGCCTATATTATGGGATGGTAGAATCCAATCTTCTTTATTAATTTTCACTCAGGATGCAAATTCTGACTCCAAGTAATTGATACCTAATGAAATTTATTTAATACTAAGTAAATTACAAATAAAAATTGAAAAAATATATTATGGAGAAGAAAGAAAAGAACATAAAACACATTAGTACACGTGCCACATACATGCAAAATTCGAAAAACCTAGGACTCTTTAAGATAGAATTACGTGTACGTATTCGTAGTGCAGATGGTATGATATGAGGGAAAACGTTAGGAGACAAAGCTCCTCTGCTAGAAGGCATCCTGGCACTCAGAATTTGGCAGACGAGGTGGAATAATCTGGAACTGACCGGGGGCCATGTGCTTTTACGTCGTGACAACCTTGCACAGAATTGCAGAGTTTCTCTGACATGCGAGACCCGGACACGAAATAAAGAGCAGCAGTCCTTTGCCGAGGGGCAATCCTGTGCTTGCGACCGGGACCGGGACCGGGACAGTAAGTTTTCGCAGCGCAGCCGATTTCGCACCTTGCCGGAACCTGAATAGAAAGAAAGAAGAGAGAGGTACGTCCGCAGGTCCGACGGGGGGAGGGAGAAGGCTGCAAGCTCACGTCGCTTTCAGGTCGAGCGGCGGTTACCCCAAAGGAAGGCACGAGGGTCCGGTCCCCCCTCGGGGACTACGGTCGGGTCGGCGGCTGGCCAGTTTCTGGCGGGAGCGTTCGTCCTCCACAGCCGTGGCCCCCACCGCTCGCTCGCCGGGTTTCGGCTCGCCGAGGGATGTGGCACAGACCGCGCTCCGTCGGCCGGCGAGCCTGAGTCGCAGCCACTCTGTCCAACCGGACGGGCTCGAACCGTGGACCGGCGTGGGTCGCGGGCATGCGGAGTGCGGACGGCGTGGGCAAGCGAAGGCTAGACCGGCAGCCCGCTCGGTCGAGACCGGGCCCCGCGCTCTTCATACCCTGTGGACCAGCCCGACTGGTCGTCCGTGAGGTCTAGACCCCTGGACCCTGGACCCCGGACCCCCTGTACTGTAGAGTACAGTCCAGAGCCTACAGTGTACTAAGGTGGTTCTGGCCTCTGGCACTCCCGCCCGCCCGTGATCGACTGGGTGAAACCGTGTAACACGACCGGAGTGCGGAAGGAGGCGGAATGGGGCTCGCATGTAAAAGCTATAATTACCGCAAGGTATGTTTCACTTTGCGTGCGGTAACTGGAGAGAAGTATTAAGGCGAGCGGGGATCTGAGGCCCACCTCACAAACATTCACCTCCGTAGGCGGTGCTCGCCTACGTGCCTCGGCCATTACCTACAAGAGCCAGTGGGTCGCTACGACGGAGGGAGGGAGAGTTCGTCACCGTGAGAGAGCCAGGGACACGGGACCGAGGATTCGATCGGAAGAGGAACAGCGGCCGAAGGCTGTCCCGACAGCGGGACCAAAGGGGCCTCCCGTGAGCGTGCGGGCGTGAGGGAAGGGAGGGAGGGAGTGAGAGCGTAGAGCGATGGCATCTTGAAGTCGGAACGATCGCCGGGACGAGGTGGTCGAGGAGGAGGAGGGCGAGGGGGGAAACCTGGAGCATTCGGGGAGGAGGAGAAAAAAACCCGGCGGCCAATGTCATTGCGTAGGGAGATTCGGGGATGAACATTTCGAATTTCTAGATGCTAGAGGGAAGGAGGGACGATCACTTGAGCGGGTCCATGTTCGAGCGCTTGGGCGACCGATTTTGGTGCTCTATCGTGACGGGGATCCTGTAATGAGTGGATTCGCTTGCAGCATCTGAGTCATTCTCCCGACCGTGATCCACATTCATGCAACCTTTGCCCACTAAACAACCGAGTGCAGCAACTTTTGTTGCCGTCATCTTCCTTGCTCTCGTCGCACCTTTTGTCGCCATGGGTCGAGCTCCATGTTGTGACAAGGCCAATGTGAAAAAGGGTCCTTGGTCGCCCGAAGAGGATGCCAAGCTCAAGTCTTTCATCGAACACAATGGCACAGGTGGCAATTGGATCACGCTGCCGAGCAAAGCAGGTGAGCTTTTCTCTCCGGAAGCTGCCACCTTCGAGCTTCGAGCTTCGAGCGAGTTTATCGAATGTGGATGCCATCCTCTTCTATTTGTTATTTTTTTTTCGGTGGCTGATCGGGTCGTCTTTTGTACAGGTCTGAAGCGCTGCGGAAAGAGCTGCAGACTCCGCTGGATCAATTATTTGCGTCCCGACATCAAACATGGAAGCTTCACTGAAGAAGAAGAAAAGACAATTTATCGCCTCCACGCTCAAATTGGCAGCAGGTAAGCCAATGAATCTGATCACTGGGAACAAACGAAGTGGCCACCCAAGCCATGCACACGACCACGCTCATCCCTCGAGCTCCAAAGAAATTCCGAGGAGCTCTTCCGAATTCACCTGCTCGCATTTGTAGGGTTTACGAGATAAAACACATGTGGAAACCTATTCCGTCGATCAGGTTATTCTGACTTTAATTTATCCTTTAGTTCGGTATACTCACGTCAAACTGGTAAGTACGTGATCAGATCGATTAGCTTCGATCATGACTAATGTAGAAATCATCTCCACCTCATCCAGATAGTCAAGGTCAAGAGGTGCGGTCATGAGCCCCGCTCCCATCTGGACGAGTTCAGCATCGAGTCCTAAATCAAAAGAGGACTTTCAGTGCGGGTCGAATTCATTCAGATGGAAGCGAAGCTCATCACTTGTGCTCGCAGATGGCAATTCTTCCGGCCGAGCGTGCGGTCTCTGCGCCTCCTACGGACTAAAGCCCTGCCCCGGTCCCGAAATTTTTGCCGACCTATGGACTCCATGGATCGTCTTCTATCATCCCAATGTTTCGGGGTCTCGTCCTTCGACGGCAACCTAATAACGTACACGATGTTCGTATAGTCCATCGCTTCACGTCTCATGCTGGAGACGATCTGGTAGATCCCAGACCGAATCCAGCGAGAGTCCGAGGTTCAGCCGGAACGTCCTTTGCAAGCACGTCTCGGCGATCTTTTGAATGTTGTCATGGTTTTGACGCAACGGACTTCCCTCTTTTACCGCTGACTATTACATGGCTACGCTTTTCGCCATGTACGCGAGGCATGCGATTCCGCATGCCACCGTCGATCAAATTTAGCACCTTTGGGCGGTTGAGGTGCCACTGATCTAGTGAGGCAATGGAACTGGTCGGATCCTGTTCGTGCTCCGTTAGCAATCCGGCCGTGAATGTACTGCTTCAAAGTATGATGCAGTTGGACCGACTGCCGAGCTCGAGCTCGAGCTCGGAGTGTACAACCGGCGACTCCATGTACGTCGAGCGAGGTGTGGACATCAGACATGCGTTCAGACATTGATTCAGACTTCATGTACATGAAGTTTGGTTCTCTCCTGCGTCCAGATGCACTGTAGAAACTCTCTCTAGCTGGAGTCGTACGAAGAGGTGCATATGAAGTCTCAGAGTGAAGTCTCAGAGTGAGCACCTTCCTACGTTTCTCTGTTGCGAATCATGATATCCATGAATCGACGTTGGACTTTTATGTGGTACAGGTTATTTTTTCTCATGTTTACTGTTTCCTGTCTGCAACCTCTTCCAGACCATTCAGATGGCTTACCCTTCACCGTGTGATACTGTATCGCAACCCAGCGCGGTGACCTCGAATTTGAGGGGATCTAGGATGTACATCTTTGCCTTCTCGAAGCTTGCACATGCCTTTCTGGGTACCCATGGTCATGGTACCGGCTAACACCAATCTTCTCGGGTCCTAGTTTGTTTCCCCCGACGTTCCTATCGGCCTTATGATTATCTGCATTCGACTTATGCAGCTTACTCCTCTCGAGCTCAAACGGAGTGACAGCCTGCCATTATTTACTGGAAATCTTCGAATATGGAAGTTGGAATGAAACCCCGTTATTTAGGAAAATCTGGGAGTTGTAGTTTCATGTGTAGACACCGAGGGTGAGGCGGATCTGCCATGTCTACGTCACGCATGGTCTCTCACACGTGGTTTGTTATGATGTATTTGTGCAGATGGTCCTTGATCGCTGCTCAGCTGCCTGGGAGAACCGATAACGATATCAAGAATTACTGGAACACTCGGCTGAAGAAGAAGCTCCTGGAGAGAGCTAGTAATATGTGGTGCGGACGTCCGCACCACTCTTTCCAGATTTATCCCATGAATCAGCCGGCCAACGATCAGATGTCAAATGCCGTGGGGAGAGAAGGCCTTCTGAATTCTCAGTTTCTGCATGCTCAGGCTTATTATCAGTACGTTCAGCAACAACAGCCGCAGTATTATCTTCCACAGCAGCAGCAGCAGCCACAACCCATTCAGGATCCGAGTCAAACCGTGCAGCTTCCAACCGTCCTTCAGCACCAGCTGCATATGAGAAGCATAAAGAATGAATTGGTGGACGAGCATCAACAACAGCAGGCTCCGACCGGGGGTGTCGTGGAGAGCGAAAGGCTGAGGGACATCGAGAGCAGTTTGAGGAGTATCGTGGACGAATCGTCGTCGAGGACATTTGATGCCCGCCGAGCATTCCAGCGTCTGCATTGTCTGAGCAATCGACTTCCTGCGAACGGGAATCCGATGTCGCCAGCGGCCGTGGCCACCTCTCACCACAACACCTCCCCGACCTCGTCATGCAGTAATCTGAGCTCCGACAGAAATTCTTTCGGGGTTCAGCAGATCGCTGACAGCGCATTCAGCGACTCCGGGTACACCATGTACGAGGATCCAGCTGCTAGAGAGCCGTCCACCACCATGCTGAACACGAGCATTCTGGGGTCCGCATCGCAGCAGCAGGTCGCTAGTCTGCCAGATACGTCTACCCCTGAATCGCTGCTGTCTACCTCCCGGTTCGAGGATGGCGTTTTCGATGATCTGAGCATGTACAACCGCTCTCAGGACCTATCTGAGGTAGCGGTGGTGGATCGAGCTCTGGGTACAGGTGGTGTGAAGGAAGAGTCTCATCAGGCGAGTGGAGGAGGATCGGCGGATTGGTGGGCGAATATGGATTTAGTCGCACCCCCCGGGCCCCTTAACCAGAAGTCCACCGTACTGGCGGCGAACTCGATGATGAGGTGGTCCATTCCTACACCCCGATGCGGGGCCGAGAACATTTACAACTCGCCTCAGGCTCAACTTACTTCCCAGTCGCACGGCACGCAGCCTCTCGACGGTATGAATAGTTACAGCGATTCTTTCCTGTCCAAATTGATCAGTTAAGGGAGGAATGAAGGCCTGCTTGGTCTTGTTAAATTTTCAGGGAATCACCCTTGTTTAAAGCAGCAGGTAGCACGGCGAGGTTACGTTCTAGGTAGAAATTCAACACTAGGTGCCGTGAATCAGAACATACATGTTGTACAGAGATATTATCAAGCTCCAAAGCTTAGGGTTCTTAGATATTCTTCATAGCGCGGTGCCCGATGCGGACGAAGCCTGTACCTTTCAGCGGAGATTGGGCAGAAATCCTCCGGGCTATCATTGTTTTACACTTGGTAGTAGACAAAATTCTTTTTGCTATTGCGGCTGCTACTAATCCACACGTAGGAGGTACGGAAAGTAGCTAGACTTGCCACCTTCGGTGCCATGTCGAGCTACTAAGCCAGGTAGCTAAATCCTTCAGCTGAAATTATCTCGGCTCCTTTTGATAATAAATGATTTTGCTGCCAATTTCATAGGTGTCCGGGCGATTTCTCAAATGCTTCACCAGTGTACCATGCATATTTTGTTCGGGCAAAATTTTTGCAGGTCGCTAGAATCAGCTTGCAGTTGTCAGATGCTTGATCTATGCTTGTTACCAACTTTCTCCTCTGATGATTAAGATGTGAGAAACGATAACTGTGTCTGTCTGAACTCCACACTTGGGCTGCGTTTGTTATGTTCCAATACTTTCTCACGATGCACTCGAATGTCCAACTTTTCATCCATAGGTACATACTGAGACTAGATGTTGGAAGCCTTAAACTTTACGTACACGCGTGACTTTTTCTCACGATGGATAGTAAGTGCTTTTGCTTCGAATGCGGAAGCTGTACACCTCGTTCATCTTACAGTTCCACTGCGAAGTATTTACTCGTTCTTGCAGGCAATAGTCTCGGTTGTATCTCTACTTCACGAGTCAAAGCTTCTCAGTTGGTTTGGTGATCCTGTCGTGGAGAAATCAGACAAGTTATTGAAATAAATTAGTATTTGGCTGATAAATCTGGTACGGAGTAAGAACCTCTTCAAATCGCTTCATTGTTTCGTTGTTGTTCAGTTACTCATTCGGCATCGAGCTTGAACTGCTAGAACGTAAATATCTGGAATCGATGTTTCACCCAAATGAGTGAACCTGCTCAATCATCCCAAAACTTACAAGATAGTCTCTTGCAGACTGGAGTATCTTTGTCTCATCATGACACCACGTGCAAGTTCATTCAGTAAGTCTTTTGTGTACATCATATGGTGAATTGTTCAAAACAGCGTCATCTATCAACTTCATTCCGAGCAGATGTATCGGTAGTATTTTATTTTAACTCTTAAAGGCCAAGACATTGGGATCAACAATTTCTATGATCCTTCATGCAATTTGTAGTTCACTACTTATAATTGATCAATCCACAATGCAAAATACTCAACGTTGCCGTCTCCGTCAAACACCGCTACTGGCTACGACTAAAAGCAGATTTTTTCAAGCTACTTTCAATTCAAATTGCTGGTATTTTTTAAATAACATACTTTTGAATTTTGCATTGTGTTTTCTCGTTCACAGTGTCACATCGGCCCAATGTACATGAGTATAAATGAACCATCGTTCTAAAATTTATATGACAATGATCTAATCAGAATTTTCTATTCAAATTTTTCAACGATTGGATTCTTTGTCTATATTAGAAATTTTTCATGAAAAAAATTGTGTTTTTTCCAGGTATAAATGAAATTTTTTTGGAAAGTCATTAGTCTCTAAAATTAAAACTTAACAAATTATAAGCAGATAAGCAGAAAAGGATAGAGGAACCATCTACTTAAGCAAATAAGGTCAGACTATACTTTACTGACATTACAACGTAGAATATGCCAAAGTGTATTTAGACGTCAAAAAAGTATGGTTCAAACAAGATACGAAATCTTTTGACTAAACATTCAAAGAGATCTTGTTTATGAACTGAACAATCGTAGAAACACGTTGAACAAAACTAAGCTTTACAATGCCTTGAAGAGAATGACACCATTCTTGTATGGTGTGATAGGCTTTAACCGATATACGATATGTGAAAGTGACATATACCTTATGGAACACTCTCTTGCACTCTCACACAAACTAGTGGACTTGGCAGTTAAGCGAAAGGTAAAGGTAACCTAGAGCCCACTAATGAAGAAAATCTGCTCCATAACCCGGAAAGACTCCAAAGGGCAGACCAAAGTGGAGAAGACCATGTGAGGTATGCACTCTCCTTTAATAGCAAAAAACGCTTGTTTATCCACTGCCGAGTGTCCTGCTTGGATTAAGCTTTCATTTGATTGAGACGGGTTTTACCCTCGCACGTCACTGGGGCCAAACTCTCACAGAATAGTATTTTATGGAGCAATTTGGTGCATCTGGAGTTAACAAGGACAGACTTATTCGTCATGTGTTGGAGAAAATAAACGTGCGCTTTTCAGACCGGGCGCATCGAAAATAGAAACAATTGGATGCATGGCATGTCGTCTTCGAAGGACCGAGGGAACAGCTTTTACGATAATGATTCGGCCGAGCGAACGAATTCGTCGAGCCTGCAGCTTCGTCTGGCAACAAGACAGATCGACTGGGAATCGGGAATCTAGTGTCAACTCTGCGGATGGCTCTGCGGTGCCAGACGAATATAAATATAAATCACTGGCGCAATCGCAGAGCAGTGCCATCCCGAGCCGAGTACAAACGTCGGAAGTAGAAAGTCTCAGCGCTCGGGGTCGTTGTGAACCCATGAGCCATGGCCTCGTGCAGAACGCCAATGATGGGCGAGAGGAGGCAAGTCAGGGGCCAGGATTCCAGGTGTTGCGGGCTAGAAGCAGCTGCAGCCAGTCGAGAGTCGAGTGTCGAGTGTCGAGGGGGCATACGAAGGAGCACTGCGTTCTTCCTCCGGCTTTCTGTTGGAGTTGCGCCTGCTCCTGGCCCCTCGTTCATGCACGAAGGTCGGGTTCTCGCAGGCCATTTCCCGGAAGTCCATCGGAGTCAAATCACAGCATCCAATGGGCAGCTCGAAGCTCCCGAACCCACAGCCATCGTGTTGCTGATGCACCTGCGTATGCAAACGAAACACAGCACCTCACAGCCCTCGTCACACGCCGGTGCTCTTTCCTCGACTCTCTCTGCCATTCAAATCCCCCGATTCTTCGATGCTGCTTACAAATATAAACATGCGTTTCCAGAATTCCACTCCCGCCCCACGCGACGACCATACCGCGGCTTAAAAACCTGAGGCAGTCTTGACGCGAAATCTGGATCTTGCATGTCCGAACATCCATTCCGGACATCAAATTCTCCCCTCGCTGTGATCGTTTGCTGGCCTCTCGCCGTTCTTCTCGTTCACGTGTACATGACGTGATCTGAGCTTTGTCTTACGCACGAGAAGAGCGAAACTCGTTGGTTCTCGTCGTTTGTCGATCGCACTTGTCACACCTTGACGTCTGCAATCCCGATTAGCAATGCACAAATGCGGAATTCCGGACGAAGCTTTTAATAACGGGTTCCAATCTGGGCGACGTGACCACACCTTGCGTGTGCAGCCCATCTCTCGACGGGCGCCTTCTGCGAAAGTTTCAGATCTGCGTCTTACCGGCATCTAACTATCTTCCTATCTTTTCTGACAAGCTGCGCGAGACTTCTCTGTCGGTGCAACGATGCACAAGGCTCGCAAAATATCCGCGAAATCAGCTAAAATAGCAAAAATCGCAGAATTCATTCTGCTGATGACATTGTGCATCTATGCCGGCAATCTTACGATCCTTCCGGTAAATTTAGATCATCGTCATATATGACGTGCATTTTTCTTGTCTCTGAGCACCACGTCGAGAGAGCTCTGTGGCGAAACCGTCTGAAGGTACTGAAGGCGGCATCGCGGCTGTAAGTATTTTTCATGATCTCCCTTCCTATCCGTCATCGACAACAACATGGCTGGACCCGACGCGACGGTTACTGTGATGCTCGTCACAGCTCGGGTTCGTTCTGCAGGTCGCAAGCTTCGGCCGGATATCTGTTGAATCACGGACGCCATCGACTGTGACATTTCTTCTTCTTGTCATGCACCGCACCCTCGAGGCCTTTGCAGCCAAGCCGTACTTGAGGTACAACGGAATCGGCTCTGAGTGGCGAAATTAATTTCATGATATCATAAATTACAACATGGCTAGATCCGATGAGTCAACTCCGTTTCCTAAATTTGACAGAAATGCCGTGATTATACCGTTGAAACCCCAAACATTTCGACCAGTGGAACCGACGCGATCTGAGTTGACTCAATATAGCTTTCGCTTGGCCACGAATTCATGCTGAAGATTTTTCTCCAGACCTCTTTGGCAACACCGCAGGGGGATATTATGGAGTTCGTTCTTCCGTGGCGCGAGCAATTTTCGTTCTTCCATGACATGTCGTGGAAGCATTTGAATGCGTCATTGAAAACGTGGCCAGGCCGGATTGGAACTGTGACGCTAACTTCAGGACGCTGTGACGCTAATTTCAGGACGCCACCATCGGTGTCGCTAACCGTCCTGAAAATTCAATCACAGTTAAAAATTTTTTACTTTTCATAAAGTATTATGAAATATATATTAAAAAAATTGATCTATAATATATATATATATATATATATTATAAGAAATAAAAAATGAAATTAGTCTCCAATAAATTTATAAAATTTCAATATATGTAAATAATGAAGCCATAGTAATAGCAGGAACAAATAATCCAACTAAAGGAAGAAAAATAGAAAGTAAATAAGAAGCTGTCTTTTTTGAGCGATTGGTTAAAATAGGTTTTGCTAAAGAAAAAGCTTTCAAAACGTTTTTATTAGTTTTATTTTTCCAAATAGCTTTACGATTTAGATTTACGTTTTTGTAGAACTGCCATAATAATAAATGCCTTACCTTTTTTTATAAAAATTGCTGAAAAAATATTATATGTATTTTTATAAAAAATATGTTTTTGTAATTAAATTTCCTTTCCATTAAAAAAAATGGAATCAACTATAAATCCCACATATTGACGAACCCCACATATTATTAAGAAAATAGTACCTATAATGACATGAAATTGAGATAGGTAGGCTAGGGTCTTTCAAGCGGTTAGCGACACCGTCGTTGTCGCTAACCGTCCTAAAATTTGTCGATGATCTATGTACGTGCGCATTCTCGTCTTCAACCGCTTCTTCTTACGTGTCTTATCGCACATTGCAACACAAGTCGAGTAAATCTTCATCTTGGCACAGCCAATAAATTTATCCAGTTTTTTAATCAGTAATGCATGAAGAGCTAATTATGAAATAGGGCTGCATTATATGAGAAATACAAAGAAGTAATTCGTTCATATATATAGATTATTTCGTAGCACTTTAGAGGATTGTAAGACTTCTTGCTCCTCTAATCACCGTGGCAATAAGCTTTAGAGCAGGATTGAGAGTTGACGTGGCATGAGACATTCGTGCCACTTGTTGGCTTTGGGAAGCATCTAAGAGGTTGATCGTGTGGAAGCTGAAGATACTTGATCCAACTGGGAGTGTTGGTCGAACAGGAGGCTGTTTCCATGGTTATTGAATCAATGAGATCAATCGGAGTGTGGAGCACGAAGAAATCAAAACTTAAGGTTTTGATGGTTTTTTCATCTATTGTTGTTATGAATTATTGGGAAAGAATTTTGTAGTGAAAACTCAGATACAGATGTTCTGAATGTGAGGTAGCCATGGTGGGTTAGACATGATGGTATGGAACCAACATGTTTTGCTCGAAACTAGATAGTTTCAAGCGTCAAAATAGCGTCAAAATTGATCAGTTCCAATGGAAGAGCAAAAAGTCACAAGCCCAGGCAATTTTCTAGAATGAAGATTGGTCAGATGAATATATGCTTGGCATGAAACTTTCATTCTGATAATGGCGTTCATTTGAGTGAAGAAACTGGAATTTACCTTCGCCATTGAAAAGATTAAAATCAAGTTTTGCATTATGTTTTCAAATCTCATTAAAATCAAAAATTAGAAATCATGTATTCAAGCTTAACATATGCTGTGTCAAAACGATTGTAAAAGTGTGTATAAAAAAATGAAAGCGATGAACAATCTCCCAAAAGATTTCAAGACTAACTTGAAGAGTTTTGCTGAATGTAACTTTTGGTATTCAAACTACATCAGCTTAAAAATTCAAAAAAATTTGAAAAAAAATTTGAAACCTGTTTGGCGGCCATTTAAAAAAAAATTTGATGTAAATAAAAAATCCTCAAAAGAAAGTCGATGAAAAAAATGTACATGTGTTTCTTTATCAGAGGGGAAATAAATAAATAAATAAATATATATATATACAATCACTTACAAGGGATGATATGGCCCGAGGGATCTGATGGTGCTCCACACACCGAGCCCCATAAAAATACATAAATGTCCAATTGGTAGATTAACAATAGAAAAAATGATAGCTTTTTTTAATACCTCTACAAATTATTTGATATGTCATTGCAAGTTATAGCGTAAGGTGCTCATATGTAAATATATCATTAATTTCAAAATTTAATGGTTTTAAATTCAATGGGAAAAAATTTATCTGAGAAAATAATATTAATTATTAAATCTTACACAAATAATTTCAAAAATGAATTTTTTAAATAAAATTAAAAATGATACATAACTAATAGATAAATTATTAAAGCTTTAATTTATATTTCAAAACTGTATTATTATTATTATTATTTAAAAAATATTATAAATTTTTTAACGAAATTATTCAATTTAATAATATAAGAATTTCCATTTATAGTTGAATTTTTTAAAAATATTTTATCATGCTTTCATATTATTTTAAATATTTAACATCACAATATTAACAGATATAAACATCTTCAAAATGTAGAAAAAAATTCATGTTTAGACAGTTATTCAAATGTGTAAAAATGCTCTATTAGATTTCCATAAATAATTTTTTTTTAAATGATAATTTTTCATGAAGATTCAAAGTCATAATCCTATATTTTATAATTTGAGGAAAAAACTTGAGGAAAAAAAAGCATTCAAATATTTGATATGAATTTACATATTCCATGCTACTCATCAAATTATGTTCATGATGTTTAGAAGTTGATAGTGTATATATGATATCAGTTTCTATTTATAATTCTTCTTTGTTTTTTTCCTATATTAAGTAGCATAATTTTTACGAAAAATAATTTATTATTATTAAAATTTGATATATTTAATTTATCAAGATTTTAAACATAAATTTAATTTAAAAAAATAATTAAATAAAGGATTGCAATTTTTTATTTTAAAAATTTTAGTATTAAATATATTTTATTCAAAATCAAATAAATAAATTTTGGAATGAAAATAAATGAATTAATTATATAAAATTGACACAAACATATAATGTTGTATGTATAAAAAAATATTTTTATTTGTTATTAAGTCAAACTCATAAACATTCAACCCATATAAAGCTATCAAAGTTTTAAAAGCTGACTGATGTGTACTTAATCTTATGAAACGAGTATATTACACACTGTAAGTTTGATAGATTGAAAACTTTATTATTATCAAACGATATAAGAAAAATGTTATCAAGATTATAATCATCATGTATGCAGAATTCATCAAGCCATTTCCAGCCTTTCTCCCTTGGGACCAAAAGAGAACCAGGCTTTCAAACAGTTCAATAAAAATATGCTTAAAATGAATAGAAAATAATAAAAGCATTGCCGATGTATAATTTTTATTGATAATTTTAGAAATTAAAAAAAAATTTGAAAGAAATCATAAATTGTAAATTATAAAAAATTATTTCATAATTTTTGATTCTACTATATATCATCTCATAACAAACTATGAGATGATATACTTAATAAACGTAATTTTTTGAATATGCACATAATGTGAAAGTTTGTATCGTACCAGACACTTGAAAGATGTAATAAGATAAGTTTTTCCGTGAAATTATATTTTTGAATAAAAAATATCAGCTTCAGATCTCTTTTAATTAACAAGGATAAAGCCATATTTATCAATTTTGTTAACAAGAAAATTAAAGATCATGAAATATTTGAAAGATAAAGCTTTGTAAAGATTGCTACTTAAAGTATTCTATGGCAAAATTATAAATTTTCTTATAAAAAACTGAAAGACAGACATTTTTGATAGTGATAAAAATGTATCGATCTTGAACAAAATTTATTTTATTTTCATGTGGACAAGTTGATGATCCTGTGAACAAACTTGAATGAGATATTATTACAAAGCAGAAGATGTAATGACTTGTTCATTATTGGAGAGCTAGTAGAGGTATAAAATAACGAAAAAAGAATATCTGAAAGCAAAAGATATTGAATATAATTTCAAAAGTAGAAATTTTAATATATTGTTGAAAACATTTTCATGATCTTGTTACAAATTTCATTTAACGTGCTGGAAAATTAATAAGATTATAATGTCATATGCATGTGTCTTGAATATTAAATTGAAAAAATTACAAATAGCAGTCATTTCCTAACAATTTTGATCGTCTACTCAACATCTTGACAATTGAAGCCAAAATCTTCTGACTAAAAAAGTAACACCGTGCTTTTTAAATGCAAATTTTGATTTCATGCTCTACAACTTACATCGAAATTGTTTTCAACATATTTCTTATTCAAAACTGCAGCCTTTTCCAATCTGTTCTTATAAATGAGCTAAACACAAACCTTTGCGCGGATTGGGGGCAAACTTCAGTTCGTGATAGAAAAGGAATACTTGTCATCATCAACACTCGTCTCACAATACTATGAATATTTAGAGCACCCTGACTAAATAAAGGCTTATCAGACATTCTGAAGATGAAATGTTCAGAATAAGATGCTACAGCAAGATAGTCTTTCATTGTTGTTCACGTGAAACACAAATATCAGCAAAGAGTACACTGGAATCGCGACGCTTCTCTGTTACTGGGCTTTGTTCTGACTTCTCCGAAGCTTTGAACCTCGAGACAAATGCAAGACACGAGAAAATCGGTGGATCCATTGAGCCAAATGCACACGACTGTCAGCCGATTTCATGGAGCTGAAATAGATTATGCAACATTGTGAAAGACTGAAGACGTAGCTGCGGAGAAGAACTGCATAACCCGAAGTGATGAGTTTGAACGTAAGTCTGACCTGCAGTGCTGGCCAGGAGCAGCGAACATAAAATCAGAGCGTAGATTGTGGTTCACGTAACCAATATATCCCTCTGCCCTCCAGCTTCTGAAATCGACAGGAGACGGGAATGAATGAAGGAATGAAGCTCTTCAGCCGCAAGTGTACAGGTGTCTGTCAAACGTCGCGCCACCGAAGCAGCTCGATAGTGTGTGCGCTGGAATTCTCATCCACGTCTCACATAATCAGCACGTCAGTGTCACTCTGGTTTCTCTCCATCTTTGAAGGATTTGCCCCAGGCCACGGCTCTCTA